GTCTTGGGTTTGGTGGCTTGCTTTCTCATTCTTTCTCTCTCTCTCTCTCTCTCTCTCTCTCTCTCTCTCTCTCTCTGTCTCTTGTGAAGTTAGAAGAATAATAATGATAAATTAAATTATAAAATTACCAATACACTTAAGAACTTGTCACCCTTTTAATATTTTTGTGTACACTATAGTATTGTAAGGATATTTCTTTTATTAGAGTCATACTTTAGAATTTCTATGTACTTTAACATTTATTTATTTTTAGGGTGTATGTGCTCATTGGAAACAGAAGCGGGGAGAGTGGTGATGGCTACATCACAGTCCCTGTCCTCCATTTTCCTCTTGGGATTTTGGGCACACACATAGTGCCTGGTGGTTTTTTTTTTCAGGCCACTGGGTCAGGGACTCAAAATGCCCAGTCAGGCCATGTGAGATCCAGCCACCTTAACCATTATACCACCTAGCTGGCCCTTCTGTGCATTTTTTGTTTTTTTGGAGAGATTTTTCGCTATAGGGCGCGTGCGCTCGCCAGACAGACAGAGACATAGAGACAGAAAGCGGGAAATCACCCCCAGGGGAGATGGTCATGCTGTAGTCGCTTCTCCTCCATTCTCCTCTTGGGATCCTAGGCGCACACCCACACGCGCCTGGCGTGAGTTTTAAGCCACCAGGTCCGGGGACGCGAACCGCGGTCGACTATGTGGGAGTCCAGCGACATAGCCATTACGCTAACTGCTGGTTCCGCCCTTCTGTGCATTTTTAAGTTTATTTCTTCCACAGGTAAGGGAGGGAGACAGATAGGCACTCCCAACAAGGTCCTTACTCCACAGTTCTAGGTCCATCCTTAGTCAGGCAGGATTACGGCATATGTATGTGACCTGATGTACACTGTGAGATCTCGGGATGTGAGCCCAGGACACTCCCATGTGACCTTGGCATCACAGAACATTGTGTTACCGCTGTGCCTCCAAGGCTAGCCCTAACACTTGCATGTTTTTATGGATAATTTGATGCTAAAATTCTTCAAGATCCAAAAATCCTTGTAAGTTAAGAAAATTTTTAAAGAATTATTTAATTTCTTGGGACCAGCAGTTGGCGTAATGGCTATGTCGCTGGACTGCCCACGTAGTCTACCACGGTTCGAGTCCTGGATCTGGTGGCTTAAACTCACGCTGGGTACATGTGCGTGCATGCCCAAGATCCTGAGAGGAGAATGGAGGAGATGGGATTGCGGCGTGGCCATCCTCCCGAGGGATGATTTCTTGCTTTCTGTCTCTGTCTTTTTGGCGAGCACACATGCTCTATAGCAAAACCTCTCTCCCCCCAAAAAAGAATTTGCTGTAGTGTGCATGGTGAAATCAGAGAGAGAGAGAGGGAGGGAGGGAGGGAGGGAGGGAGAGAGAGAGAGAGAGAGAGAGAGAGAGAGAAGAAAGTGAGAAAGCACGCCTTTAGGTCCGGGAGTCGAACAGCAGTCGAACAGCATTGGCCATGTGGGAGTCCAGCACCTTAATCACCACACTACCTGCTGGCCCCTAAGTGAAAAATGTTTTTCAGCCCCAGATTTTTATTACCTTGTTTCAAAGGTTTGTAGCAATTACACGTTTCACTGGGCAGTTATTTCATGCTTTCATATTGTAAATTATAAGTCCTTGTTGTTTTAGAGATTTTACCTGAAGTTACATTAGCTTTCATTAGTTTTTAATTGTGATTTTGTATTTGTTAATCTTCAGTACAGAATTTCTAAGTTAATTCCTTTTAAATTCTGTTTAGTTTGAATCAATAGAATATAGTACAAACTTTTTTTTTTTAATTTAAATAAAACTTTTTAGCAAGTTCTTGGAGACGTACTGATGACAGGAAAGATGACCGCGCAGAAGAGCGGGATCCTCCTCGTCGTGTTCCTCCTCCAGCTCTCTCAAGAGACCGAGAAAGAGAACGAGAACGAGACCGAGACCGAGAACGAGAAGGTGAAAAAGAGAAGGCCTCGTGGAGAGCTGAGAAAGATAGGGAATCTCTTCGTCGTACTAAAAATGAGACTGATGAAGATGGATGGACCACAGTACGACGTTAAGTCTCAAGAAAATGGATTCAGACTCGTGTCTTACATAAGTTTGATCACATTCAAGGATTATTATACTTGTGCTTCAACCAATCTAAATTGGATTCTTTAATGTTGTTTCACCATAACACAAAAAGCATGAACTTGTATTAATCCTATATAATAGATTGATCATGCACCATATCCACAGAAGGTTGGAAAACCATGCCATTTTCTGGAATTTAAGGTGTTGCATTATTTCATCAATCATTTGTTTACAAAAAAGAAAAACTAAAAAATAAATTTAAAATGTGAACCCTTCAGGTATTGAGTAACACCTGTATTTTGGTAGAGAACTGATCTTTTTTTCTTTTGATTTTGAACTGATTAATTTGGAATGAGGTAAGGTTCTATTAAAGAAAATGTATTTGAAGACCTTTTCAAAGCAGTGGTTCTGAAACAGTTTTCACACCATTAATGGATGAAACATACCTCTAGGCATTTTGAGGTATTTACTATTAACTAAATTTAGAGAGTTTTTAGATTCACAATAAGTGCAGTAAACATTATAAACATTGAATACAGTGGAATTATCTGTAGATTTTGAGAGCAGGTAAGTATAAAGCTATTTGCAGTCATTATTGTAATGATAAGAATACTTCTTAAGCGTGAATCCAAAACAGTACAACTTTTGAATTTTAAAGCATTTGGTAAACTATCGCTGAGTTTTTTCTGTTGCCAATAGTACACTGCTTTTCCATTAATGGAGAATTCATGCCTTTCAAGCATTTTAAATATGACAATATTTATAAATGTGTGGTTTGGAGGAACTGTTTAAATTCTTTTTCCTAATTTTCTTTTTCTTCAGGATAGATTCTTTCAACAAGTAATTTGTAGTAATGACTGTGTTGACTTCAATTTTGGAGTGGCTATGTTAAAGATTAACTATTTGGTCTTATTGAAGCCAACACAGAACTTGCTGCTGTGTTTTTTTTTGTTTGTTTTTTTGTTTTTTTTTTTTCTTCAGCGATAAATAAAATACTTACAGAATTTGTTTTAGTGTTGATTTGTTGTTACAGTTAAAAGTAGTTTGTCTTTGATGGTAAGTCTGCATATTTTTGAATTTGTTGTTCCATTTGACTCTTTAATCAGTGCTGTGTTAAATGTCTGTGTTTAATATAAAAGAAAATAGGAAATAACCTAAATATAACTTAGATAGCAAAGGTGGCTAGGGTATTTTTCCTAAAATATTCTCCTTACTTGAGGAACTGTTTACTTTTCTTGTAATATTGTCTTCTGATTTGTATGCATGTTGTATGTATGAGATACGATCTTGGGTTTTCACCTGACATTAGAAAAATTGTAATTTCAGAGCATTACTGTCACATTTATAGTGACTATAGGCACTTAATTTCTGTTGTAGTGGTGAGAATTCCTCTTGGTAATAGCTGTAAGGCCAGAAGAGAGAGTATTCATGCTTTTTTACATAAGTAATTAAATGCAGCCTTTTCTGTTTGATGTTAGCAATGGTGTAAATCACTTTTTAAATGCTTAACTTTCTTAATATTTGGTATTTCCAATATCTGGAGGTCTTGAAAGATCTTCTGTGAAGGAAGGGCCCTTTCATAACAAGGAAAAGGAACTTGAGATCAGTTATCATATTTGAGCTGTGTCTGTGTATTCTGCGAGTTTACCTCATTAGAGAGAACTGTTCTTGCAGCATCACAGATAAACCCCAGCATTTCAGTGGATCTGTTTAGATGAGTTACAGGTGCATGTTAGGTGTCAATACCAGTCTGCACACCTACCTTTCTGCCCATACAGTTCTCAGATGTACTGTTCTCCTGAGTTCTTGTTCTGGATGTTAGAATCCAGAGCACAGGAGGAGGCAGAAGTATCTGATTCTGTTGCTTTATGATCCTACTCTTGGTTTCCTATAAGGAAGCTGTTAGGTTGTTGGAAAAGTCATGATGTATTTTTCAGTGTTTTTCTTTGCAAAAATGAGTCATGACTTCCGATGACCCAGTAACAACCAACCCACTCAGAAATGTGTGCTGGGTTATCTTCCATGCTCCTTGTGGCTTCTACATTTTTAAATGAGATAAACATTGATAAAAACTGAGGAGTAGAAAACATTGGCCTAAAAAAAAAGACTGTCCCCATGGTGGCTAACAGGAGGAGATGGGGATATTGTGTAAAAAGCTTTCACATCAAAAAGTTCCTGTTTTGTTTACCAAAAACATTTTGACTGTGGATTAATTATTTACATCTAATTGAAATATATGGTGCACCGGAAAGAATGTTCCTGGAGTGGCTAAGAAAAGGCTAGAAAATTTAGGAATAATGGAACTGGCTGATGGTGTAATGGTTATGTTGCTATACTCCTATGTAGTCGACCATGGTTCGAGTCCTGGACCTGGCAGCTTAAAACTCATGTGGGTGCGTGTGCACGTGTGCCCAAGGTCTGGAGGGGGTAATGGAGAAGGGATTGTGGTGTGGCCATCCCCACTGGGGGTGATTTCTTGTTTTCTGTCTGTCTCTCCAGCCAGCGCGTTCACCTTATAGCAAAAAAGTCTCTTAAAAAAATTGGAATAACATGATTTTAAAACATGCGAATTTTGGTTTAGTAAATCTTTGACAAAAATTGTAATCGGGCCTAGCCACTGTGATGCAGTAGTAATGTGACGAGGCTGGAAGCCATATGGTTGTGGGTTCAGATTCCTGGTAGCCTGGGAAAGGGGGTTCATGGTATAGCAACACTGTTGAGGGTACTTCTCATTCACACTCGTCTGTATACATGCGCTATCACTAAAAAACCAATATTAATCAAAGCTCAATTTTGTAACTTCCAAAAAGGACTTTGAAGGAGAATTGAAATACAAATGAGTCACTGGAAATTTCTGCATAGAAAAGATTAAGGCAGTGTATGCCTCCATAGCTTTTTTAAGAATTCCTGATACTGTTTTGCTACTTAGCCAAAAAGTGCAGCATGTTCTTAGGAAGAAGATAACTTTGTCACACTAACCATTTTGTGTATTTTTTTAAACTTTGAAAACTGGGCTTTCTTTACCCTAAATAATTTGCAGTGTTTCACATTTCAGTTCCAAAGATTGCTTTTAGATGAATATGGTTAAGTATAAGAGAACCATAGAAAAATAACTATTAGTAACTCTTTTTTTTGTGCTTTAACTATAGCATTTCAACGGTAGCTGGAATACTGAAACAGATTTGGCATTGGGGGTGGTAGAGGACTGATTTTGGGATACTTTAGCTTGAAAACTGAGGCCAGCTTGGTATAGGGGATGGTGGGGGGCTGATAAGTCACATTTTGTATGTATTATATAATGGCTTCCCTATTAGGTGATGAACCTCTTTTATTATTCTCACTTCAGGACTTAACTGATTAACATATTTTATTTGGTGTCAGAGTATCAAATATTAGGCACATCTAGTCACAGTGATTTTTCATATCAAAGCCTTATGCATGAGATCAAGTCTCATGACTTTAAAAAAGTACAAAGTAACTAAATTGATTCTGCCACCTGTTTGGTCCTTTGGACTAGAATGCACTGATCTGTTTACAGTGACCTCTTTAAAAAGGTAGAACAGTGGGAGAGGTAGCAGGAATTCATATTGACCTGAAAAACTACCCAGAAAGCAAAGCTAATTTAAACTGGTATATTTTACAGCAAAAGAGAACAAGTAATTACATGGTTTTATGGTTTTATTAAGCTACTTAAGCTTAGGCCCAGTCAAATCTGCAGTTTTCAGGTCTGAGGTTAAGACTAGTAAGGGTGGATTATTTTTTTCCTGGCTAGGGAACTGTTCCTTACTCCCTCTCCTTTTAATTCTGATGCAGCTTCAACTTCCTTTGGCCAAAAAGGCTGGAAGCTATCTTTTTTTTTTTTTTTTTAAACCCCAGCCTCTTACACCATCGAGTGAGTGTTCACTTTTCAGCTTGCTATGGTGGAAGTTAGCTGTTGAATATGAAAGCAGTCTAACTTCTAATACCCTAGCTAAATCCTCCTTCTGGAAGCTTTATATACTTAAGCCAAATCTCTTGCTGGTATTTTCAGATAGTGGTGTGTTTGTACACTTCAGATGAGTTCATCTTAATTCACTTCTGCTTGAGCCTTTCCCGTCTGTCTCGATAGTAGGTAGCTGCGCCAGTGTGATGTTCAGCGTGGTGGATTTGAAAGAGTGGGAGGTGCGATAGGGATTAGGAACCTTAGCCTAATAAGGGTCAGAGGTAGCAGTAAGAAAGGGGACATAAGGGAGGCTGTGCTCCTTTTTGCCACCCCCCCCCCAATATTAATTTCTTTAATTAGTGCTTGTTCTGGTTTCAGCACTGCCTGTGTGGCTACCCGCAGTGGAACCTACTTGAACATGCGTTATTACATTAACCTCCCAGAGCTCCAGGGAGCCATCTTCCATTTATTTTGAGAGGCAACAGCTGAAGTGAGCTTTGCTCCACTGTTGAGGAACCCTGAAGCTGAGCAGTTTAGGGTGAACACACACTGTTCTCTTTCCTTTCTCTCTTTTGATGTTAATATCAAACGTTTTTAAAGAACTGGAAATGGGCAAGTAGAGAAAATGCCAAGTGGCAAGTTATAGGCGAGATTAATTCATATACTTTAACTGTATAAATACACAAGTTTTTTTAAACAGCACCATTCCAAGTGTATACACAATATGATTATGACTTGGCACAATTTAAAGGTGGAAAAATGCTAGTTGCTAGTTCAGTAATAAAAGACCTGGTACATAAAAGGATAAGGAGCTATAGTCTACCTTCTACAGTTTGTGCATTTTACACCTCCAGCTAAGAACAAACAAGCCACAAGGAGGGCATACCCACCCCATTAATACTGGAAAGTTTTACTAAACCTTTGCTTCTCATAACGGTGGCGCTACCAGGGGCTTGTTTCACCTGGAATTAGAATAACTGATTAAGGACAACTAAGAAATATTGTTTCAAACAATAAAAGTCATTTTGCCGACATTCCATAAAATGGCCAGTTTTAAGCTCAGTCCAGAGGCTTTTAAAAAAATATTCTAGACCTAGTAAAGTGCCTCCATTCATAAAATGAAACATCCAAGATTAGACTGAGACAATTTCACCCTGATGCGCATCTAAAATAGGTCGACGTATACAGTAAATAAATAAAACAGCGCCTCTTAGTTGCCATATTTCAGTGAGTGGAATACACACCCTGCCATTCGCCGTTGTGGATGTGCACAAACTACAAACTAGCGAGACGAATCAAGATTTTAGCGTTTAGTCTCAACCGCTTCCCAGGAAAGTACTCCACAGTCCGCTGCTTTTGAAAAAAAAATCTCGGGCGACGTCCGAAGTTGAGCCAACTGCTGAGTTTCACGCGTCCCCAACTGCGAGGAAGAAGTGCACCGACGAGAGCCGGCAGGCGGCGATCCCAGTGGCGCCAGGTGCCAGCCGACAGGAGCGCAGGCCCTCAGCGCAGCTTCTTGCCAGGCAGGCCGTCCCTGGCGCTGCGCGGCGGCGGGCGGGCGGCGGGCCGGGCGGCGGGCGGCGGCGGCACTTTGGAGAGCGGGCAGTACTTGATGGTGTGCGCGTTATCGCCGCTGGCGCCGCACAGGGGGCACGTGTAGCGGCGAAGCACCGGGCATAGCACTCGTCCGTCGGGGCCCTTCAGGATGTGGGTCGTGTAAAGCGCCACCGCCTCCTTGTTGTTCCGGCAAAACACGCACACCTGCAGCTCCGGCTTGAGCCACCGGGACGCGGCCGCCCCCGAGGGCG